GGATGAGTTTCTGCTTTTGGTCGTCAATCGGCACTTCTCCAAGCTCAAGCCGGGCTCCAATGGTGATGAAGATCAAGCTAGGGCACTTGGGAACTCTGGTTCGTCACTTTCTCTCTCTAGGAATCGCTCTGTCTCTCTAAAACTCGGAACCCTTTCTCCTTTGGCTCAAATCTGCCTAAAAAGGCCGACCCTGGGCAAAACACGGTCAAGGGCACGACCGTGCTTTGGTTTTGCCCGCCCGTGCCCTTGCCACGTGTTAAAAACACAGCCACACCTTGGGGTAAAACACGGTCGTGTCTAAAGTTGGACACGGCCGTGTTTTGAGTCAGTCCCGCCCGTGTTTTGAGTCAGCGCAGGACAATCTTGGATCAAGCCTCGACAGTAAAAACACGGTCCAGGAACACGGCCGTGTTTTGATTTAGGCGTGCCCGTGCTTTGGCTCCAGCTCAACCGAATGACTTCCAAATGCCCCGAAACTCGTGCTTAGCCTTTCCTTCGACGTCTGGGACCTGAAATATGAAAAAGTAGCACAACCCGGCGTAAAATAGGCCAAAACACACGACTATGCCCCGCAAATGGATAAGAACTAGGGGTACAAAAATGTGCCATTACATCGTTATCAAACTCCCCCCACACTTAAACGTTTGCTTGTCCCCAAGCAAACCAAGTCAGACACAAGGTAAGCTCAAAACGTTTCAATCAAGCAGGCTCTAGGGCATACCAAATCCAGACAAAAAATTCACTAATCGATCCACCACACAAAAGCCACATAAGCACGCATACAATGCCAACATCCAAAAGGTAGGCCGAAGAACAGAAATCCCGGGAGAAAAATATAACAAGCAAAGAGCGCCATCGGCCTACCAAATCATTCCCAAAACATGCCACAATCCCAAATTCTTCACCTAACTCTAGGTATCGATTCTCCAAAAATAAAATAAGAGGCAATGAAGACTCGCCGGAGAACTCGCCGCCGGCGACCCAACCTTGGCCAAACAAGCCCAAACCTCTGGGGATTGTGCTCCTCAACGCCAGGAGCGTGGGGGCGGTCGCGGTTTGTGATTTAGAGGTCGGGAGAGGGAGTTATGGCCGAAAAATCGGAGGAGAAAAGGAGAAAACCGAAATCCGGCAAGGGGGGGGGGGGCGGTGGGAATTTGAAAAAATGAATCTGGGGGGAGAGAGAGACCGAAATTCGATTTTTATAGGAGGGGAGTAAAACACGGGCGGGCTGGAACACGGCCGTGTTTTCCATGCATCGCGCCCGTGTTTTTACTGCCGAGGGCGTGCTCCCCCCCTTTTAAAACACGGGCGGGCTGAGGTCAAAACACGACCGTGTTTTGAACCCCTTGCGCCTGTGTTTTTATTGCCGAGAGCAATGCATACCTCCTTTGAAAATACGGGCGGGCAGGGGTAAAAACACGGCCGTGTTTTGGACCCCTGGCGCCCGTGTTTTTACTGCCGAGCCCACTTCTACAATTTTCAAAATCCCAATTTCGAACCACCAAAACTCATTCGTACCCCGGCTCTAAAAATTACCCAGTCATATATTAAAACGAATCGCCCAAGGCACGAAATACTTTCCAGACAGACTCCAGACAGACTCAAAGACTCCAAAAACCGACAAAAATGAAAAAGGAAAAAGGGTAGAAATGCAAACCGTGGTGGGGTTGCCTCCCCACAAGCGCTTCTTTACCGTCTTTTAGCTGGACGCCCATTGCGGAACTAAGGGTCCGCGAGTTCCACTACCAACTCCGCACGTTCGACCTCGTCTCCCAGGTAGAGCTTGAGACGATGGCCATTCACTTTAAACGGATCAGTTTGGGGGTTGGCAATTTCAATCGTGCCATACGGGAACACCTGTGTGACCGTGAACGGTCCAGACCACCGGGAACGGAGTTTTCCGAGAAAGAGCTTCAGGCGAGAGTTATAAAGGAGAACTCGATCACCAACCTGGAACTCTTTCGGACCCCGCAACCGTGCGTCGTGCAGGCGCTTAGTGCGCTCCTTGTACAACTTGGTAAGCATTTGCGTTATTGAATACTAAGGTAGAAAGGTTTTACTTTGACCACACTCTCCTCTTCTCGTACCCCCGAAAACCGCCAGTTTTTTTTTTTTTTTACATAAGATAATCATATATAGATTCAAGAAAGGTATCGTTACATCCTGGAAATAAGCCAGGCCTGAAAATTAAAAGAGCGACACGTAGACGGGTACAAAGCAAGGGCCTTTCTAGCCACTGTATGGGCTACCCTATTGTTCCTCCGTCCTACAAATCGCACACTAAACCCAGAATTATGCACCATACAATGCCGGATCTCCTCTAAGATCATCCCAATCCTACTATCTCTAGTTTCAGCTTGATTGATTTTCTCGATGATGACCTTGGCATCTTCTTCAAACCTCACCTCCTGGAATCCATTGGCTACACACCACAAGATAGCTTCTCGGAGGACAAGCGCTTCCACCACCAAAGGATCATCAATGGACCCAAACTGAACCCCCTGAGCTCCCTGAGCTCGGAGGACCTCCCTATGAGGATCAAGAAGCACCATTCCGCCAGCAGAGTGGGACCTAGCCCTCGTAGCCCCATCCCACATACACACCATCGAGGAGCCCCTAGCCAGGCCCGGAGGATGGAGAATGGGGCGTGGACCCGGCTCTACCCTTTTTGCTGGCACCCGTTCCCATTCCTCACACTGTTGATGAAATTGGCGCAACAAGGCAGGGAATCCAAACCGCTTGCCATCAAAGACAACACAATTACGCGACTTCCAAATTCGCCAAAGCACAGCCACCACCGCCATGATCATAGGAGGTTGATGGATTAAGGCAAATTACAGCCGTTTAAGAAACAAGGGAAAAGTATGGCGAGGCAAGCCTTGCCCAAGATGTTCAAGCCTTGAATAGTCCCATAAAGCCCGAGCCACTGGACACTCCAGGAATAAATGTTCCATAGTTTCCGATGCTTCCCAACAAACCGGACAACGTGGAAGGACAAGAACACTTTTCTCAATGAGGCCCTCAGTGGTAGGGAGGATACGATGAAAAATCTGTCATACGAACACCTTCAACTTAGGGGGAATGTCAGCCTCCCATAGCCAAATCCAACTGGCGCTATCCATCCAACTAGCCGTAGCCCTCCAACAACCATTCCTTTTGGCCTGATCAACGGCTAAATGATATGTTGTTTTGACAGTAAACACACCATCTGCGGTGCAATGCCAAATAAGTTTATCCACCATATTCTGCCTCGGCAGAGGGATAGAACGAATCATTCGACATGTTGGAGGATCAAACCATTGCCTCAGTTTGGTTTCACACCAACCCCCTTCCCCATCCTGATCTAAGACCTCCGCCACCATCGGCTCACCACCTTCTGGGAGCACCTGCGGGTTATAGAGAGGCTTCTCAGGATGCAACTGAGGTATCCAATTCGATGAGAGTAGCGATGCTGATTCCCCATTACCAATTTGCCAACGAAGGCCTTGCTCAAGCAACTGCCTCCCAAAGAGAACACTCTACCATCCCCAGGAAGGGCGCGAACGTGCTTGGGCTTGGAGAAAAGTCCCCCTTGGGAAATATTTACCTTTATAAACTTGAGCCAGCAAGGATTGGGGATCCTGAAGAATTCGCCATCCAATTTTAGCTAACAGTGCCTGATTAAAATGTTCAAAACGACGGAAACCCATGCCCCATCATGTTTGCTTTTGCACATATTTCTTCAGGACATCCAATGAATCCTTGACTGCCCCTCCGTCATACCCCACCTGAACCGAGCAACATGCTTGTCCAGGAGCCGACAAAGCGACAAGGGAAACCGGAAGCAAGACATAACATGCAATGGTAAGGCTAAAGCAACAGATTTGATCAGGGTTTCTTTTGCTGCCCAAGATAAAGTACGTTGCTTCCACCCTTGTAGTTTCTCCAGCAGTTTTTCTTCCAGGTAGCGGAAGGTAGCCATCTTTGATCGGGCAATCAGGGTCGGGAGACCCAAGTATTTGTCATGAACTCCCACCGCTCCCACCCCCAGAATCGCCGCCAGAAATTCCTGATCAGCGGGGGCTATGTTCTTACTAAAACAAACCGCTGATTTATCCAAATTAACCCGTTGGCCACTTAACTCATATTCATTTAAAACATCGATCAGATTTTCACATTCCTAAAGATTCCCTCGCAGGAACAGATAAGAATCATCCGCAAAGAATAAATGTGAAACCCGAGGAGCCTGCGAAGCTACTTTTACTCCTCCCAGTTTCTTATCAGCAATTGCCTTGCGGAGAATCGCAGCAAAGCCTTCCGTACATAGCACAAAGAGCAGGGGGGACAGAGGGTCCCCTTGGCGAAGCCCCCGGGAAGGCGAGAAAAATCCTGACGGAGACCCATTCATTAGGACCGAGACAGATGTTGAGCGAAGACATTCATGGATCCATCCAGTCCAAACGGAATTGAAACCCATTTTCTCCATGACTGCGAGCAAGAAGAGCCATTCAACTCTATCATAGGTCTTTTCCATGTCAACCTTTAGAGCCATGTACCCTTTCTTACCACTCCGAAAACCGCCAGTTAAAAATAAAGTAATGAAATAGTAACGGACTAACATACATGGTACTTATTAATTAAAGTAGATAACTCCCGTTTCGTGGGTTAGGAACTAGCTACGAGAGTTATGCATTGGATGATTAATCTGCCGAAATTGTGTCGATAAAGCCTATAAATATTTAAGGCTCAGACTCTTCCCTTTTTCTACCTTTTAATACAATTGTCATTAAAAAAAAAAGGCCTATAAATATTAAAGCGTACTACAATCACTGTCCACAGCACCAACCAACTATATCAGGAATGGAAAATGTTATTAGTGTCCTCATCGTACTAACAAATTTTACCGCTATACTGTGTGTGACTTCAGGTGATGGCGGCGGCGACATGCGTCAGTCTGTCTACATCCAAAACCAAATGAGCAGCCATCAGGCGAATACTGTTGGTACATTGTCGATCAAAGGATGACGATCTGGGAATTCATTATCTCAAATTCAATACCACTTACGTGTGGAAATTCACCCCAATTCCATGGACGACGCTCTTCTGGTGCTATTTGGCCCCGTCCGGCGGTGCTCGCCATGTTGCTTTTGAAGCTTATAACCAGAGAATGGGTGATCAAGGGATGGGTTACCCTACTGTTTGGATAGTTAGAGAAGATGGAGTTTATCGAAGGCGTCTTTATCTAAGTGCACGAGTCCGTGATGTTTTGGTTCACCGTTGGCAATCAGGAAGGTGATGGATGAATTAATCGATTTTATGCTCCCACAATTTGAAATTAAACCTGTTATGATCCTACAAATTTGAAGAGGGAGGGAGATCATATAAAGAGGATAGAAAGATCAATAGACGTTGTTTCCAAAATCGAATGGGAGAAATATGAGCACTTAATAATTCTAGATCTCCAGCATCTCCCACCCTATAATCATCATCGTCCATGTCCTCAAAGTCATTTTCTCTACCAATCTCGTCGTCACTTAGTTGCGAGATAGAGCCATATCATAGTATTTCATAGAAGAGTGGGATTGTGTACCTTTTATTATTTAAATTATTAAGGTTCGTTTGGAAAATATAAATTTAAATCTACATATATATTGTCAACAATCTAAAGATTCTAACTCTTCGGATTGTTGAAAACAAATTTTAAAATGTTTATTGTTTGGTAACTGCGATTGTTAACATTCAAGTAAAATAAAAATTTTAATTTTATATTAAATAACATGTTTATCCTTAATAAAATAATTAGAATTGTTGGGTATATGACTCGGGTCTAGCCGCGCTGAGGAAGCACCCCGGCACCGCTCATGGAAGAGTCAGGCGCGTTAGTGCCAGCGCGACCAAGGGTGCGCTCGCGCGAGGATCTCAGGCGCGGCGAAGTCCACACGCGCGGACAAAGATCCCAGACGCCAAACGACGACGTTTCAATCAAGCGTTGACCAGACAAAGAAGCCATGAAAACGACGCCGCATTTCCCGAGGAGTGGTCACATCATAGTCCTAGGTATAATCATGGGCAAATCCCCTAGTCCTAGGTAGAGGTGTGGCCTAAACTTCTGACATGTCAATAGTCATGTCACCATGTAACTCACCCACCACCATGTAGCCTATAAATATGGCATTTACTCCGGTGGGTGAGGAGATCGGATTTTTTAGACTCTACCTCTAAAACTATCGACTTCTCTCTCTAAGATATCTCTCTCAACCTCATTCCCTCACTCCTTTGTTCCTCGTCTAATGGAGTATTCTGTTTGCTAACTCTTCTCGACCCATTTTTCTGAACCTCCCTCCTACACCCAGTTAGATTCAAACAATTGGCGCCCACCGTGGGGCCGAATAGAGAAGCAGTAGAAAACCAACCGATGGCGGAACATAACTCCAACTCGCCTGACGACGCAACACCCATCAAGGAAATGACAAACCCAAGGGTGTTCGCGGAAGCCAGCAACCTTAACGCGATGCTCATTGAAGAAGAGGAGCCCGAGCTAACGGCCAAAGAGATGAGGCAACAAATGGCTAAGCAAAACGAAGTCATAGCCGATATTCAAAAAAATATGAGCCAAGTCATAGCGCTCATGATGAGCAAGGAGGCCGCGCCACCAACACACTTGGAACAAAGCGCGCCACCACAAGCGGCAGGTGAAACGCGAGAACCTGTCCTACCGCCACAACAATTGCCGGGCGCGTGCAAAGTGCAACAAGCGGAGCAGCGCCCCAGGGCAGACCTCAGTTTCTTGGAACAACACCTATCCCCGCAGTACCTCCCCCACACACCCAGAAGAGTCCTCCATCAACCGTTGAGCGTGGAAATCATGGCGGAACACCTAAGCGGAACGCCGCCCGCCCTCCCAACATATAATGGGACAACCGACCCGGAGGATCATGTCAGCACATTTTGCCTCAGGATGCAACTCCAGACCAATTCCAACGCGGCACTATGCAGAACCTTTCCATCAACATTCTCCGGCATATGCCTTGACTGGTACCATAGACTTCCCAATGGAATCATCCGCTCATTCGAAGAGTTCATACTCTTGTTCACCACTAAGTTCGCGTCACAAAAAAGAAGACCGCTCCACCTCAAGGCCTTGATCGACATCAGGCAAAAGGATAGGGAAAGCTTGCACGCATTCTACGCCAGATGGTCCAGGGTGGCAATGGTCGTGCGGGACCTCACCCCCGAAACCGCCGCCCATCACCTCATGGACACCACTACCAACATGGAGCTCAAGCGAGCTTTAGCAAAAAGACCAGTCACGCTTTCGACGGAACTGGAGGTCAAAATCAAGAAGGCTATCACACTGGAAGAAACTCTGGGCGCGGGTTCTATCAGGAGCTTCGAACCCTCAAAATCGCCCAGAGAGGATCAGGGGCGGAAGCCGCTCCCATTGTCACGGGAGCAATTGGTACAGCCGCACAGCGGGCCCAGACGACCGCCCGCCGCACAAGAACAAGCTCCGCGAAGGCGCTCACCAGACAGGCGCCCACAAAACATGATGCCCGCTTACACACCGCTTAATGATTCAGTAAAAAATGTGTTTCATGTGCTCCACGAGAAGGGATACAAGATCAACTGGCCCGCGCCCGTCAAAGCGGCACCACAGATGCGCGACCCAAGCAAGCATTGTGAATTTCACAGGGAGACGGGCCACTTGACTGAGGATTGCAGGGAACCGAGGTACGAAATAGAGGGCCTCATCCGAAGAGGACTCTTGTCCCAGTTCATCCAAGACGCGGAAGGGCAGAAAGAACAACGCGGGAATCCGCCACCACCCCCACAACCCGATTATGACGAGGCCACCGACGCATACCTAGTGCGAAAGGAAATAGGGGTGGTGACGGTTGAAGGAAACCGCTCAAGCAAAAAGACGAAACGAGAGCGCGCGATGGAATGCACAACATCAGAGGTGCAGCCAAAGTGCAACCTAAGTTTCGACGACGCGGAATTCCCCCATGTGATCCCGTCGGAAGACCCACTCACCATCACCGCGCTGATAGCCGCATGCAAAATTCATCGCCTGCTAATAGACGGGGGTAGCGCAGCGGACATTCTGTTCAAAAGCATCCTCGACCAAATGGACATCGACCCGCGCCTAATCAAACGCGCGCAAGGGAACGTAGTCGGATTCTCCGGAACAAGGGTTGCAGTGATCGACGTGGTCACCCTCCCCGTCGTAATCGGAGATCAGGAGCCGCGGGTCTCCAAGCATGCCGAGTTCACCATCGTCGACTGCAACTCGCCCCACAATGGCATCTTGGGACGACCATTCCTTGCCAAGTTCATGGCTCTCCCATCGACATGCCACCAGAAGCTTAAATTTCCCACCAAGGCAGGGACTGGAGAAGTGCGCGGGACGCCATGGGGAGTCCCAAAAATAGAAGGAGAGGCCCGCCAGACCAACATCGTTGACACGAGGGCAGAAGATCAGCGCCCAGAATTGATGGATTCTGATTTTGAAGTTGCGCTCGATCCCACTGAGCCGACGAAGAAAATCCGCATCTCGACCCATGTCTACGGTGACGTGATTGTGCCGCTGATAGCGCTGCTGAAGGAGTACAAAGAGTTGTTCGCCTGGTGCACGGAGGACATGCCGGGAGTACCGAGGCAAGTAGCTCAACATTGCCTCGCGGTTCCAGTCAACGCGGAACCAAGGCAACAAGCGCGACGAAGCTTCACATGCGACAAACTGAAAGCAATAGAAGAAGAGTTCGCGCGGCTACTAGCCGCAGGGTTGATCCGACCAGTGAAATACCCGAAGTGGTTGGCAAATGTGGTTATGGTAAAGAAGTCTTCAGGGGCCTGGCGAATGTGCGTCGACTATACAACGATCAACAAGGTGTGCCTGGGAGACCCTTACCCCCTGCCGCGCATAGACCAACTGATCGATGCCACAGCCGATCACGAGACATTGTCTTTCCTAGACATGTTCTCAGGATACCACCAAATCCCAATGTCCCGCGAAGATGAGGAAAAAACGGCCTTCATGACACCATTCAGAAACTTTTTCTTTGTCGGAATACCGTTCGGATTGAAGAACGCTGGCACTACCTACCAAAGAATGATCGACTCGGTGTTCTCACAACAGATAGGGAGGAACATTGAGGCATATGTGGATGACCTCATCATTAAAACCAAAGCGGACAACTCACATTTGGAAGATTTGCGCGAGATGTTTGAGGCACTCCGCAAACACAGCCTCCGCTTAAACCCACTGAAGTGTGTATTCGGAGCAGAAGCAGGAAAATTTCTGGGATTCATAATCACCAAGCGCGGTATCGAAGTCGACCCGAAACAGATCACCGCAGTCCAATAGCTGTGGGCGCCGAGAAGCGCGTTGGAGATACAATCCCTAAACGGCAAGATAGCGGCACTAGGGCGGTTCATACCAAGGTCAACCGACAAGTGCGCCCCTTTCTTCAAAACGCTTAAAGACGGCGCGCGATTCGCATGGTCCAAGGAGTGTGAAGCGGCTTTTCAAGAACTCAAGTCATATCTTATATCCCCCTTGTATTGACCGCCCCCAAGCTTAATGAAAAACTTTTTCTGTATCTTGCCGTGTCGACAAGAGCTGTGAGCGCAGTACTAATATCTGGTCCAGGTGTCGTCGTGCGCACCCCGATAGGCGTTGTTCACAAAATTGCAATCCAGTTCAGAACGTTGAAGACAAATAACGCGGTCAAATATGAGGCCATCTTGGCGGGTATGACGGCCGCCAATGACTTGGGCGCTAGAACGATCAGGGTACTCTCCGATTCCTCGCTGGTAGTTAACCAACTGAACGGAACCTTCGATACAAAAGAGGACACGCTCGCGCACTACATGAAGCGTGTCAAACAATGGGCAAATACTTTTGAAGCGGTGACTTACGTGCAAATACCAAGGGAGGAAAACATGCACGCGGACGCACTATCCAAGCTAGCAACCGCCACCGACTTTGAATCGACGCGCCTAGTCTCGGTCCAAAAGGAAGAAGAGGAAAGTCATCAGGACATCATGGTCAACGCCACACAAATAACGCAAGAAGAAGACTGGAGAGCCCCAATAAAAAGATACCTAGAAGATGGTGTAGTGCCAGAAGATAGTAAAGAGGCATGGGCCCTAAGGCAGAAAGCGGCCCGCTGCACGCTCATTGGTGAGGAGTTGTACCGCTGGT